AAGGGGTGGAGCCTAGTGTCCAAGCTTCGGGAAAGCTCAACACCCACGTTGGATGGTGTTCCTAGCACGTGGCCCATGGGTGCACCACTGCCATCACCCTGAGGGGATTTTCTGGCTACAGAGGAACAGCTTGTCTAAGAGAGCTGATGGGCTCAGGGCCGGTGCAGCCAGAGACACTGGCTCACAGACCCAGTGAGGATGATCACTGCAGCAGCACAGCAGGCAAGGCAGAGTCTTGATACACTGGGGGCGTGCGAGGGGGGGTTCTACGGGGCACCAGCACCTCCCTTTTACAAACACTGTTGGTTAATGATTTTTAAATGACTTTTTAGGCATACACACACACACACACACACACACACACACACACACGCTGCCCTGGTGGAATAGTGGTTTCTCTTTGGGTTGTGATCCACAGAGTCCGCAGTTTGAAACCACTAGCCACTCTGAGAGAGAAAGATGAGGCTTTGTACTCCCGTAAAGAGTTACAGTCTTAAAAACCCACAGGGGAAGTTCTACCCTGTCCTATAGGGTTGGCATGAGTCTGAATTGACTCGCAGTGAATTTTTATATATATATATATATATATATATATTCATATAGACATACATGTGTGTGTGTACACATATATATCCCTCGTGAGTGATACAGTGGGCCTATCCTACTGCAGTAGGACACGGAGAGAGATAGATGACTCTCGTTGGGCCAACTCTGACTCATGGCAGCCTCCACATAATAGAACCAGACCATGCCGACCCTGCACCTTCCTTACAATGGCTTGTCCTGTTTGATCCATCACTGTGGCTACTGAGCCAGCCCATCCCACGGAGGGTCTCTCTCCCTGCGGCCCTCTACTTCACCAACAGCGTGTCCTCACGGAGTGAGTCCGTCCCTCCCCATGACCGTGTTCCACCTGGTAGGCCAAATAGGCGGGTTGGGTGTGGCAGGAGGAAAGAAAGCCCCAAACACATTCCCATCTAACTCTGGAAGGAAGGGTATGGCCACACCGTCTACTTTCTTTTTTTTTAAACATACAACTGTTATCGCAATCCATACACACATCAATTGTGTAAAGTGTATTTGTACATCATTCTCAAAACATTTTCTCTCCACTTAAACCCCTGGCATTAGGTCCTCATTTTTCCCCTCCCTCCCCGCTCCCCCCTCCCTCATGAGCCCTTGATAGTTT